AAAAAAAAAAAAAAAAAAAAAAAAAAAAACCTCTAAGAATTGGGGAATATCATCCCAGTTTTACAAATGATGAAGGCAATTCAGCCAAAGACATAAAGCTAGTGACAGAGACATATTTCAACCTTGAAGTTGACTTCCAAGTTGTAAATTCCTTTAATACACCCATGGATTCCACATAAAGAGGAATCTTTGTAAGAATTCACTCATGGATTTTTATAATTTAAGTTAACAACTACTGCACAGAGAAGAGAAATGCTGGTCTATTATATAGATTAAGGGCAGAGTTTCTGGACTTAGCCTCTACAGAGTGGAATATCGATTTTACCGATTAAGCTTTGTGTGATCAAAGTCATATAGATAGCTGTGCATTTTATTAAACTTTCAGGTTTCTCATCTAAGGGATAGTATCCACCTTAAGATTTGTTGCAAGGGTGAAATGTGATTATGAAGGCAAAACAAAATTTGGAACACTGTCTAGCATATAGTAAATACTCAAAATAGATGTCAGGTGTTATGGTTATTTCTCCAGATGAGACAGTAAAAGAGCAGCAAAAATAAGACTAAACCCAATATCTTCTTGCTCATAGATTGCAGACCTTCAAACATTGGTATAATGGTAATATTAATAGCCACTGTTACTGTGTACTCACTGTGCACCAGGCAGGGTATTAGGTACTACTTGTACATTTCCTCCAGTCTTCTCCATAACCCTGTGAGATTGGTATGATGAGACTTGTTTCATAGATAAGGAAACCAAAGCTCAGAGGCATGAAGGGCCTCACCCAAGATGAACGTACCAGGAAGCAGCAAGTAAGAGAGACTATGTTTAGAGCCAGGTCTGCTGAATTCCAAACCTGTGCTTTCTTCTCTGCCTCATGCTGCCTGCACAGCTGAGGAGGGAATGCCACTGCTCAGAGTAGCTGAAGCTGGGGCAGGGGACAAGATGAGATGACTGTCCACCCTGTTTTTCTAGTCTGGGTTCACTGAGTACCTCCGTGTTGCATGACCCTTTGGTATATTACGACTCAGATGATGCAATCTCCTGGGACAAGGTAGATACTCAATGCTGGACTTAATGAGCCTAAAGAGCATTCTGGTTCCACCCCAGTAGGAATGGACTGTAGAAGTTCCAGCGGCTGAGCAGGAGCTGGTTTCCCTACAAGGGTGGGCAGGCTGTTTGTGCTGAGAAAAGAGGATGGACCCTAGCCTCTAGACTTCTCTGAGATTTGGCTAGATGATTTGGGTCTTCCCACAAACCGTCTCAGAACTTTACCAAAGATGAAAACAGTGGGACATCCAGCAAAGTCACAGCTATGGTGTCATGTGAAGCCATGTGACAGGAGTTTGGAATCTCAGGAAAGCCTGGTCCCAGAACTGCTTATTTGTTTTCCATGTAGCCCTAAGCAAGTCACTTAAACTCATTGGATCTCAGATTTCTCACCTGTGAAACAGGGAGACAGATCCCAGCCATCCTGAATGCCATTTTGGCTAGTTGCTTGGGGGCAGGAAAAGCAAACACTCCTTCTGTTCCTGCTGAATTGTGTGTGGCCAGAACCACAAGGACAGAGTCTGAGCCCTGATGAATGGCTGAGGAATCCTGCACAAGTCCTAGCCTGTCTTGGACCTCAGTTTACCCATCTGTGAAATGGAAGGGCTATACTAAACCAGAACATTCAAACTTTTTACCTGAAGTGTCCCTAATAATAAAAGCGAATGCTCTTGTGTGCCAAGCTCCTCTGATCCAAGGGCTTGGTGTATCAACACAATAAGTATTAGTGTAACTCTCATTTTATAGATGACAAAAACAAGACCCAAAAGGGTTAAATACTTTGCCCAAGATCATCCAGAGAGTTAAGTGTCAGAGAGGGACTTCATGAAACTCAGGCACTCGAGCTCCAGAGTCTGTGCTTACAACCTCCTCGTCTACCTACCTCTAGATAGTAAACAGCATTTTCAGAGGTGTGACCCACCTCTGAGAGGCCAGGTTTCCATTGACAGACACCTTGGGGTTCAGCCTCTCCTGAACAAGACTCTGTCCCTTCAGGGTAGGGTGGGAACAGGAAAGATCCATATTATGGCGCCCCAATGGAGAAGAGAACTGGTAGACCACAAGGTGGTAGCCTTGGGCCACTTTGGCTGGTGCGCAGCGAGGGTCTGGAGTGTTCCAACTTCCATGTTACTCTGCTGACCAAATTCTAAACAACAGGGAATTGTAGTGACATCTGGGTCTTAGTGAGTTGTTTTTTCTGAGCTGCACTCATGAGCAAAAGGGAAAGGTGAGGAACACCTACAGTCTTGGGGGGACAGTTTGATTTAGTGGAACTAACACTGGGCCTGGATGCAGAAAAGGCATGTTCAAGGCTCATTTACAACTGAGATAATACTATCTAGGCTACTGGGTTATGGGAAGGATGTATGTAAGCAAATGCTATGCTGAAACACAGAAAATATTCAGTAAATATTCATCAAAACTGAGTCTCACCATCAAAAGTTAAAGAAAAAAGAGCAGTCACACCCTGTCGGCCCTTCTTAACATCAGGGGGAGCCCTATGCCCCAAGAGGAGCTCAGCAGGTACCCTGAGATGGTGCTTACAAATGTGCACCCCAAAGTTAGCATGCAGGCCCCTGCTTGCCTGGTGTGTGCCTGCATCATTTGCTAAATATATATATGGAAAAAAGTCTATCACACTCATTCCATGAATAACACAAAGGCCTTGATTTGTTCCTCCACGTGATGAGCATGCGTTAGGTCCAAAATTAACGTTGCTGTCTGGATGGGATATGTGTGTGTTTTTCCAAAAAGAGAAAACTTCTAAGATCTTACTCAGCTCTCATCACAATGTCTCATGCACAGTGTTAGTTGAAGAGGAACAAGGAACTGAGACCAAAACCAAAGGTCTGCTCCATTGTAGAGTCTCAATAAATATCATTGACTATTGAATAGAAGGAAGAAATGAAGGGGAGCGAGGTAGCTCTGCTGTGTGGAGTGACCTTCTAGCAATCGCTTCACCTCTCTGAGCCACACCTTCCTCATACACAGGTCGCCAAGTTGGGGATACCATTTCCTCCCTTCATGCATCCAGCAGAGCTGTACCAAAGGAGAAAATAGCATAAGAGTGGCTTTGAGGAGTGCAAAGCATCAGTGAGGTGTCAGATGTTGCTCTTATTAGATCTTGTCCTGAGCCCATTAGACCCTGTATTTTCTGCATATTGGATTTGTTTTAATTTGCCTTTTTTTTTTATATCTACTCTGCAAAGCCATTAATTATAGCCTTTTAAAGAAACCATTAATATAAGCCTACCTCCATCATAGACTCCTACCTGAGTGATTTCAGCCCTAGTAACCTTCTCGGAGGCAGCAGCAGACTCACAGGGTTCTAAATCATGGTGCCAACAGAGCTGCAAGTTCCTTCACTCTCTGTGCCCATAACTTCATCTCTGACGTGGAGGAGACATGCTGGATTTCTTGCACTCTCAGCAAGACAGCAATGAGATAATTTCCATAAATGTGCCCAGCACGGTGTACGACACATGCTAGATACACAAGAAATCTTAAATTGAGAGAAAACAGGGTATACAGGACATAGTTCAGGCCTTGTAGCCAGACAAATTTGCATGTGAATCCCCAGGAGCATCTTCTTCTCTTACTTGCTATGTTGGGTATGTGTCTGTGCCCTCTGCCATGGGATTCACAACTGCAAGGTGAGAGTGATGAGAGGCTTCCATGTTCAACTGCACCAACCAGTTCAACTGCATCAACCATCCAGCCCTGCTCCAGGGGCACAATGTAGCTGTTGTGAGGGTTAAAGCACCCGACCCATCAAGGATACTTGAAAAAGGACAGCCCATTCCTGTTTTATTCCAGTTTTATTTTTCGGTCATTCTTGGAATGACCAGCTATATGGTGGAGCACTGAACCTCATCCCTTGGCAAAGCGGGCCAACCATGTGACAGATGTTAATCAGCTATTCCCAGAGATGTCGGCCAAAAGGTCAAGGAGTGGCACACCCTTTATTTTCCTCTCTGAAGCACAATTAGATTGTCACAGTTGACAGATGATGGACACGTACGCATCAGTCCAGTAATACCACTGAATCCATGGAATCTTCCGTTTACCATTCTAACCTGCATTTGCCCAGCTCTTTCCCTCCATCTGCTGACATCCCCTGCCCCCTCGTCTCTCTACCTCGCTGCCCACTCCACGACCCCCATCACATCCCCACTCACTTACCATCACGGAAATGTGAAGGATGTGCATCTGCTCCTCAACAATCTCTGAGGGCTCCTGGAGAGTGGGGGCAGTGGCCTGGGCCAGCTGCCCGGAGCTGCTCATGGAGACGTGGAAGTACAAGGTGCCATTCTCCAGCCACTGCTGTCTCCAGTGCACCAGCGAGATGTCCGCCGCTGTGCCAGACATCTCTGCAAGACAAGACCCAAGGCCTGGGTGAGTTGCATGCCTGGCCTCAGTGCTCCAGGGAGGAAAGGGGCTCACGTAATTCAGGAGCTGGAAGGTACCCTCTTTGTGCTAGGATGCCTTCCCTCACATCAAATCCGTGACCCAGGGATTATCACTTCCGTTTATAGATGGGTCATCTGTGGCCAAGGTTTGCCCCAAGTAACAGAGTGGCAGAGGCAAGATTTGAACCCAAGCCTGTTTGCTACCTTTTAAAATAAACCATGCATAACAAGGGTAACTCATTCCACCCTGACAGTGAAGGCAGCTAAGAGGGTGAGAAAGCTCCCTTCTTCTGAGGCTGTGGAATTAGAAAAAGCTGAGCTGGAAGTTCTCATGGCAGAGCTTCAGAGCTAGAAAGGACCAAGAGAGCATCTGGCTCAGCTGAGGTATTTCAGTGTCTTCCTGCAAAGGACAGGAACTCAACAAGTGGGTTGTTCTGAGCCTGTTTCTCCTGCTTTCATGGGAGCAGCTCCACTTTTTTTTCGTAGTGTATATACCATTCTCTAAAGCATGAGTGTTGGCCTGAAGATTTCCATAGCTTAATAATACTAGAATAGCCACTGCTGCACCCCAATGTTCTCATAGAATCAGTGGGAAGTTAGGACTTCTAGTAAATTGTAAAGTCAGATCTCCTGACTTCAAGTTCCTCACTCTTGTCTCTATGCTGTTTTCCCTCCATTAATGCATTTTAAAAGTTATCATTTGGATAGCATTTCTATTTAATATTATCATACCAACATAGTCTCTTATTAGATAAGAAAGGTGGCGGCATGAGATACCAGAAGTATCATTGCAGTGAGATCACACAGTCTTTCCATAGTGCACTCTTCTAAAGGGACGTGTGTCTGGAAATGTTCTAGAAGGACAATACTGATAGGTATATCCTGTGTATAAAGGGGAAGGGTGGCAGGATTCCTAGAGAATTATCAGGTCTGCACTCAAGTGAAGGTTACTATAGGGGTCAAGCAGCCTTAAAAATGTCCATTAGTAGACAAGGAGCTTTAATAGTGTCTGAGGTTTGCAACTTTGGACCCTCTTCCTGAGACACAGAGGTGACCTTGAGACAGTATTCGTACAGTTCCCAAAGACTCTGGATGCACACACACACACACACACACACACACACACACACACGAACTTTCCCTTATCCAATTAGCTCTCCCCATGTCCCACTGCTGTCCCATCATATCTGGTGATCGTGAATGAGAACAAGTCACCTTGAAGAGATATCTGCTCCCCAAATTCTATTGAATTATTCTTGTATCAACCATTCTCAAGAGAGTCTAACTCCTTGTGGTTCACCAAAAAAAGTCTTTGGGGAAGAGTGTTTGGCACTTAAGAAGTGCTAAAAAAAAAAAAAAAAAAAAAAAAGTTACCTATGAATTTGTAAACAAGCTATTGATTTATTATCATCATCATTATTATTCTGGGGACAGGATCTAATTCACCCTTCAGGTCTTCTGAAAAAAAAAAACCTTGAGATATCTTGCTTTCTCTCCCACTCCTCATCCAGTCCAACAGGAAATCCTAAAAAGCTGTCCAAAATGCCACCTGGGCCCAGGCACCATCCTCTCCCACCTGGCTCAATGCAAGGGTTTCTCAGCTTGGCTCCTCTCTTCCACCAGTGCCCCTTCTGTCTGTGCTCAACCGGAAGCCAGAGGAATCCTGCCAAAGCATGACATCTCTCCTCCTTCCATGCTCCACTCTAAATCCTCCCATGGCCTTGCACCTCATGCAAGTAAAAGGTAAACTGGACAGAACATTTGAAGGTGTTGTTCCAAGTGAGCAGTGCCCAGGCTTTCCTCACTGCTTGAAAAGTTGAACAGGGCTGATCACAAAAGCTCATCAGCTCTTAGAGTATGAGTTCCAAAGGGCCCTTAGAGCTCACTGCGGTGCCCAGCAGAGGGCACTGACTGAGTGACCAGTCTGAGAAGCAGGTCTCTTCCCAGCACCTTCTCTCCTTACTGGGCCGGAGCGATCTGCTCTCCCCACCTCCCCGCCTCAGCTCCCGAAGCCTTGGCAGTAGCTTCTCTGGCAGCCAGCCAGCTGGGCCAAGAGAAGGTGAAGACATTATGGTAAATGGCCTTGCTCAGCACCTCACTCATTTTTTCTCAGTGCACCAAAGCCCAGATCCAGAGGCCCAGGGAACCCAGGGCTGAGAGTTGCCACTAGAAATAGTGGTGTCTAATTCAGCTACTCAAAAAGAGGGTTATGTACTACTGGCCGGGCAGGCACTGAATGTGCTGAGTCCCTGGAATGGAACCAGTAGAAAGCCCCAAGACAGGCCACATCTGGTTGNCCCCCCCCCCCCCCGCCTCAGCTCCCGAAGCCTTGGCAGTAGCTTCTCTGGCAGCCAGCCAGCTGGGCCAAGAGAAGGTGAAGACATTATGGTAAATGGCCTTGCTCAGCACCTCACTCATTTTTTCTCAGTGCACCAAAGCCCAGATCCAGAGGCCCAGGGAACCCAGGGCTGAGAGTTGCCACTAGAAATAGTGGTGTCTAATTCAGCTACTCAAAAAGAGGGTTATGTACTACTGGCCGGGCAGGCACTGAATGTGCTGAGTCCCTGGAATGGAACCAGTAGAAAGCCCCAAGACAGGCCACATCTGGTTGACACAGCCTGGCATAGACGGAGGTGGAGTAAGCAGAAGGATTCTTGCAGAAACCAGAGCTCCTTGATCCTGGAGCTCTGTCCAGCCTGTGCCTGAAATCCCATCACTAAAGATACTTTTCCTTCCAGATTAGAAAACAGAGGTTCACAGAGGGTTAGTGACTTGTTTTATGTCACTGGTGAATTTCTACCCAGAAGGACCCAGTGATTTCCAGTCTACACAATTTCTACTACGCCAGTTGCACTTACAAGGTTTCCTTTTCCTTGACGAAATTAACCCATGAAACGAAACTAGATTGAGCTCTCTGTTTTCTACAGCGACGACTGCACAGTCAGCAGACAGTAAACGTTAAATGATAATAACAATGTGTGAGACACAGTAAATATTGAATCACACAGAAGAGCTCTGGACTTACTCTATTACAAAGAACAGACACCGTTGTGGGGGCTGGGGGCTGGGGTCACAAGACGTCAGAGAGAAAACTGCTTTAGTGGAAAAAGGCCTTGATTGCTCATTCACTCTCCCATTCATTTATTCATCCCTTTATTTATTCATTCAACACACTTTATCAAGGACCTACTCAGCTTAAGGCAGTTTAGTAGCTCAGAATATGAAGTTAAATGAGACACAGCCTTGCCTTCAGGGAGCTCACAGTCCTTTATCAGCAGAAATTCTACCCGGCTGCTGTCCCCCTCACCCCATGTTCCTGTTCCCACAAATGCATACTCGCCATTTACCATGGCCCAGGAGAGTATGCATTACCTGGCCTATCTCCTACCATCACCCTTCAATCATGTGCTCCAGCCCTGCAGGACTTATGACTGTTCCTCAAACAAGCCAGGCTGTAAGTACTTTCTGTCCAATCTGACTGGAACTTGCAAACTAACTTCTCAGCATTTGTCTCTCAATCCAAATGACACCTGATCTGAGAGGCCATGCCTGGCCACTCCAGCTGAAGTACTCCTTTGCACATATATCCCCTGATCTCTATTTTATCCCCTTTAAAAAACTTTCTATAGCACTTATCATGACTAGAAATTTTTCTTACGTACTTTCTTGAATGTGTGTTAATTGCTTGTCTCTGCGGGAGAGCAGGGGCTCTGCATGTCTTATTTTCTGCCACCACTCAAACACTTTGAAAAGTGCTTGGCACATAGTAAGTGCTCAATAAATAATTACTAAATTGCTGCTTTAAGGATATATATATATTATGAGATATATATATATATGAGGATACTTCAAAAAACTTTATGGAAAAATAGATTTAAAAGATAACATGGATCTTTCCATGAACTTTTCGAAGACGTGTGTGTGCATACACACACATACACACACATGTATTTACACAAATCCATAATAAGATGGTGGAGATAATAAAAAATAGAATACAAAGAGTGTTGAGTCTCATCACAGAACTGAAGAAAGAATAAGCAAAGGTCTACTGAGAACTCAAAGGTGGGGAAAGACCCTCCTAGCTTGCAGACCAAGGACTCCACCCAAAACATGATGGCATGAGCATTGCACAGGTGGGCATATTGATGTCTCCCAGAGGACAGTAGGAGGTGCAAAGATCAGCTGGGTATCTCAGAGGCGAGAAGCTGCACACGCATGTAGGAGTGCCACTGAATGTCAGGTTGGAAGTGCAGTTCAGACACGGAGTAAAGGGCTTTGAATGCCTGGTGACAGAATATATATTTTATTAGGTATGCAGTAGGGAACCAGTGCAGTACACTTGATCAGAAAGCCAGTCCTGTGTCCATTAAAAACAGGTCAAAGAAATAGTAGCATAACTAAGGCCAGCTCTTGAAACTCTCTGCTGATTGATTTTCCAATTGCATTTTCCCTTTTCTCTTTCCCTAGTCCTTCCATATCAACATTTCATTGAAGTCTTCAAGTCATATTACAATCAAACTTAAAGCAAAAGGCGGACTAAACGCATTTGGTTGGGAACCAAGACGATTCCCATAAAGGCAGATTATGCTGACATGATGAATATAAAATAAAACAGCAGATATTAAAGTGGGAGAATTGGTGCACCCTGCCTTCCGGCGGTGGGCTCACTCTAGCGCCTGCCTCCCTCCCACCCCGGATAGCTTGGCTTTATATTGGAATCATAAAGAAACACAGGCATTGCCTTTTCACCTTTCTCTGTTCTCCCCCCATGGGCTGCAACTCGTGAAATATTCAACAGGCTCAAATCCCCTCAACCACCCTGCTAAAGCCAAGCGAGAGGATCAGACTTCATCAGCGATTCTGCGTAGTCCTCCATTCTGCCTGAGTAGCCACCAATGCCTTTCAGCCGCCTGGAAAAGAAATAAAAAATCCCGAAGGCGTGTTGTGCTTTTAATCGG